CGTAGGAGACGGACGGACGGACGGACGGAACGGACGGTACGGTACGGACGACGGACGGACGACGAGACGACGTACGGACGGACGACGAGAGTTCGAGCGAGAGAGAGAGAGAGAGGCGATGCGCCTATTGGCCAGCTGGACATGGCAGGGCAGGTTGCCAACCCAAAGGCGCCGACTCAGCCCAGCCCTACTCCAGGGGCCATACGCCCGCCCCGCCTGCCTGGCTGCCTGCTACGACGGCACCCGGTGCGCAAAGCAGGCAGCAAACAAGCAAGCCAGAAGATCAAGACAAAAGAGAAGACCGAGAGGGCGAGGGAGAGAAGGCGTGGCGCAGCTGGTGCGGCTGCCGCTGTCCCGTCCTGGCCCTCTCCACACGCACGCTGCTTCTGTTGGCAGGAAGGCAGGCAGGCAGGCCAGGCCAGGCCAGCCCAGGCCGCTTTGGGTTTTTCCAGGCCGCTGCGCCTGCGCTGGGCCTCAGTCGCAATTTTTGGCTGGCTGCGCCTGGGCTGGGCTGGCTGGGCTGCTGACCTGGATCCGAGGCTGCCCACCCTCACCCTGCCTCCTCCTTGCCACCACCACCGCCATCACCACTACCACAACCCAAGCTGTATGCCTCGGAACTGAGCGATCGCCACCGTACAACCGCCCGTACCACGGCACTCTCCGTCGAGAGTGCTTCAGCGGCCCATCTGGCCCAGCGCTCACTTCCCCGTCGCCCCGCCCCGCAGCAGCATTCGTTCCTAACCTAATCTCCGGGGGCGCACCGCCGATCCCCGCGATCCGCCCCGCCGGCCCCGGCTTCTTCTCGCTGTATTTCCGCTGCATCGCCATCGCCGTCGCCATCGCCTTCCCATCCGCAGCCGCCACCGATACCCTAAGCACACCATGACCAGCGTCGAGTCCTCCATCCAGCACGGCCCCGGCCCCGGCCCCGCTGCTGCTGCTGCAGCCGCCGGCCCCGCACCCAACACTCCCGCCTCCGCGGACACCACGCCGTCCCGTGGACCGCCGCGCAAGCGCAACCGCCAGGCCCTCTCGTGCTCCGCCTGCCGAGAGCGCAAGATCAAGTGCGACCGCATCGTCCCCTGCTCACAGTGCGTCAAGCGCGGCGACCAGGAACACTGCCACATTGAGCAGAAGCCAAAGCTCGAACACCCAAAGCCATCACGCACGAAGAACCACGACCAGCGACAGCAGAACCACCAGCAGCAGGCGGCGTCCTCGACCGCTTCCGGCCAAGCTGCATCCGCCTCGTCCTCGTACGCCTTCGACGACAACGCCAACGGCAACGGGCCCCCGTCTCCGGGGACGCTCGCATACAACCAGTTCAGCGCCGCCCTTTCCACCAACGGCAGCGTGTACTCGTCCATCAGCCCTCCGCCCGCAGAGGTCGACGCCATCAAGGCGCGGCTAGCCCTCCTCGAGTCGGTCATGGGCAAGACGTCGCCCGCCTCCATGTCCAACCTCGCCCTCGCCGCCCTCGACCCTGCCTCGGCGTCGTCGCCGGATTCGTCGTCGCACCACGCCTCTTCCGCCTCGTGGCTGCCCAGAGGGTCGACCGGCAGCAGCCCCATCGACAACTTTGCCGGCGCACCGAGATCCGACTCGACCAGGTCCACCAGCCTCGGCGCCCACTCGCATTCTCCCTCCAGCCAGCAGCGCACCGAGAGCGACAGCGAAGAGGAGCCCGACTGGATGTCGCTCCGCAGCAGCGACGCCCACCGCGACTCGTCCAAGGAGTCGCAGGGCGTCGCCTTCGGGCCGAGGTACCACGACTCGATCCGCGATATTCACAAAATGTCGCGCAAGGAGCTCGACAGCGACACTGAGGAGGCCGTCACGGTGCTCGAGACGCTGGCCATGAACAACGGGCAGCAGCAGGGCAACGGCACCAGCTGCCCCGCGTCGGCCGCCGAAGCGGACCGCCACGAGCAGGAGTGCGAAGAGGTGCGCGTCGGGTTCGAGCGCTGCCTGCTCAGGGACAAGCAGCACGACATCATGGCCGACGACGGTGGCTGCCCCAACGGCGGCAACGCGGCGGGCCCGTCCCAGGCGGGCGTAGAGCTGCAGGACCTGATCGCGACGGCCGCCGCTGCCGCTTCCGCCCCCGCTCAGCCAAGCGTCGTGCCACCCGACGGCGGCATGGACCCGTCGCTCCTGTCGATCGCCGTCGGCGACCGACGCAGTGGTGTCCCAGGCGCGACGGCTCGCGGCGTCGGCGGTCCGCAATGCGCCTGCGGTCCCAACTGCGCCCCAGGCAAGGACGGCGCGCATGCTGCCGACGGGGGCGAGGGGCCGATCGACACCTGCGGCCCTCCGGGACCCAAGAGCGAGTTCCTCAAAAAGGCGTGCGCGGCGGCCTGCAGCAACGTCGGCGTCCTCCGCCCCAAGAACGGGCCCGAGACGCTGCTGGGCTGGGGGCTCGGGTGGGCGTTTGCCGCCGGCGATGCGCGGCTGCAGGCGGACCGCCAGCAGGCCAAGGATGAGGGCCGCGCCTTTGTCATCTCGGAGCGCACCGAGCGCGAGTACGTGCTGCGCGTCATCATCGAGGCGCTGCCGAGCAAGGAGGTCGTCAACCAGCTGGTCGAGGTGTACGAGTCGCGGGTGCGCTACCTGTGCGGCCACATCATCCACATCCCCTGCCTGCGCCGCGAGATCGAGGCCTTCTACGCGCTCGAGTCGGTCGAGAAGCGCGCGCGCGTCGTCAACCATGTCGACGCCGGCTGGCTGGCGATGCTGCTCTCGGTGCTGGCGCTGGCGCTGCGCTTCTACCCGTGCCAGCCCAAGGAGGGCTGGGTGCCTGTCAATCACCTCTTTGACGGCGGCCAGACGGTGGCGCTGTGGCACTCGGCGTCCAAGACGTGCCTGACGCTGGCGGGCTACCTCCACTCGACGAGCATTAGCGTGCTGCAGAGCATCCTGCTCAACATGCTGCTGCTCGGTGGCAGCTGGGTCGGCGACTCGCGCGACACGGACCAGATCGTGGCGCAGGGCTCCCTCATCCGCGTCGCCATCTCCAACGCCCAGGAGATGGGCCTGCACCGGCTGGGCGACCTCGACAAGCAGGGCACGCGAGAGGACCCGCCGAGCAAGGTTATCCGCCGCGAGATTGCCAAGCGCGTGTGGTGGGCGCTCATCTCCAAGGACTGGTGCATGGCCGCCTCGGGCTCGCGCAAGGACTACATCATCGATCGCGACCGCTTCAACACGCCGATGCCCGGCAACTACAACGACGACGACCTGCTCATCTCGCCGCTCCCCGCGCCCCGGCCGCGCGAGGAGTTCACCGAGATGTCCTACGTGCTCTCCAACCTCGAGTTTAGCCTGGCCATCAAGGAGGACTTTGACGTGCGCAACCGGCGCGAGATGCTGGCCGCGTCGACGGGCGGCGACCGCCGCATCACGTGCGCCGAGGCGCGCGCCCTCGACCAGCGCTACCGCTCCGTGCTCGAAAATGCCCCGCACTTTTTCCGGGTCGGCTCCGACGCGGTGGCCGAGGGTCGCGTCACCTGCGCCGAGGTGCAGCGGTGGCTACTGCAGCAGGGCGTCTTCAGCAAGCTGCTCCGGATCCACCGCCCGACGCTGTCGAGCCGGCAGGAGTCGAGGACCAACTGCGTGCTGCTGGCGCGCTCGATCCTCGACATGCAGAAGAAGATTCGCTCCAAGTGCACCGTCATCGACCGGCTGTGGATGAACCTGATGCAGAGCTTCTCGGCGGCCATCGTGCTGGCGCTCCACCTGCTCCACTCGCGCCCGCAGGCCGACCACCGCCTCGCCGTCAGGTCCGAGATCCTCGAGGCCATCAGCGCGCTCAAGCAGATCGACGGCGGCCTCTGCGCCAACGTCAAGTGCATCCGCGTCATCGAGGCGCTTCTGGCCGAGGAAGAGGAGCGCTGGCAGGCCGGCAATGCGGTCCTGGCCAGCACGGGCCGCAACGGAGCGGCAGACCCGATGGCCGGCATGCCGCCGCACCAGCTGAGCCACAAGCGCAAGTGGCAGAACGAGCCCCGCAGCGCCCAGGCCGACGAGGCTGGCGGCCACGGAAGGAGGAAGAACCTCCTGAGCCTGGCGCAGAGGGTGGCGGCGGCGACCATGGGCAGCGGCCAAGACACTCCTCGGCCCGCTGATCTCGTCGCAGCCGCCGCTGCCGCCGACCAGGACGACAGCCACAAGCGGGCGGCCACGCAGGCAGCCGTTCAAGGCAACGGCGGTGGCTTCACGCACCTCTCGACAACGGCGGCCTTTGCTCCGAACCCGATGCACATGGGCGCATTTGGCGCCGACGCCTCGTCGCTGCCGCTCAGCGCCATGACGCTGCCGAACCCAGGCCCCAGCCCTCTGCCGGCGCTTGCGAGCTCTGGCGGCGGTGGCGGCGGCGGCGCATCCGGCTTCGAGAACTTCAACTTCCAGTTCCCTGTCCTTCCCTACAACGCGCAGCAACCGCATCTCGTCTATGACTTCAGCAGCAACTCGGGCTCGCAGAGCGGCGGGGCCTCGGGCGCCGCTCCCTGGAGCGTGGACAATGTCCGGCACGTGTCGGCGCCCAACGGCGTCGACTTTTCGCTCAACAACCCCAACACGCCGCCCGACGGCCAGGCGTTTGACCTCGCTGCCTTCCTCGAGCAGTGCGAGAACTCACCCGGCAGCTCGAGCGACGGCAGCGGGATGCCCGGCGACCAGCGGAGCTTTTCGTTTGCGTCCGACACGAGCGGCCACGACCAGAGCCGCTCGGCGTCGATCGACGGCGTCTCGTCGATGTTTGGCAGCCCGGCCCAGACGTCGGGCGTCAAGCAGGAGAACGCTGCCGACTCGTTGGCCGCCTCGTCATCGTCGAACGGGGCGCTGGACTCGTCGCCGTCGAACAGCGCCCCGCTCGTGCCGGCCAACAACATGGACTCGTTCTGGAATTGGGTTCTGACGCAGGGCAGCGCCGCCAGCACCGCGTTGCCGGCAGCGACCACCGCCGGGGCCGAGATGCCGCCGCCGCCGCCGCCGCTGCCCCAGCAGCAGCAGCAGCCAGCAATTCAGCAAGCGCTGTCGTCGGCCGTCGGTACTACCTCTGTACCCGCCTCGACCGGTCTGACGCCGTTTGCCCTAAATGATCTGCCCTTGACCACGGCGGCCGAGGCATCTGCGCTCCTGTCGGCCGCCCCTCTGTCGTCGACCACCGACCAGCCCAGCGTTTCGGCGGCGACGACCATGGCCCCCGCCTCCGTCGCCACGATGACATTGGCCCCGGCCTCCGCCGCCCCCACCATGTCGACGTCGACCGCGGTCCCCTTTCCTCTGTACCAGGTCGGCACGCCGTCCAACATGGACATGGGCAACGTCGGCGATGTGCAGGCCAAGATGCTTTCGACGCCGCAGTCCGGCGGCATCCTTTCGCAGTCGCCGCTGCCGTACGCGGGTACCTTGCCGGGCTACGGCACGCCGAGCGCCGACGTGGGCGTCGACAGCTTCCTCGGCGCGCCGCTCTACGACTTCACCGACTACGCCCTAGCCTGGACCGCGTCAAACCCCAACGCCGCCGTCAACACTGCGTCGGGGCAGGGCCCCATTTCGGATCCCTGAACCGGGGTCCTCGTCTCGTCTCGTCTCGTCACGTCTCGTCTCGATCTCCGTTTCTTGTCGCGCAGGCCCTCTGGGACCGCCGCGACCACGACCGCGACCGCGACCGCGCTCTGCCCTTTGCTCTATTCCCCCTCTTCGCACAGTAACGGCTGTCATCTCGGCTGCCGGCCTTCCAGCCTGTAGGCGACCGCCTTCGCGCGCATCGTCTCGCTCGGTACGGTCCGTGGACCTCTCAGTTCCGTTGATCCTCCTTGTAATTCTAAAGCCCATCAACACAGCGTCGCTGCGGTCCACAAGGCGCGCCGGATCTTGGAGAGGTCCCGCGTGCGGCGGCCTGAGGGGGGGGCTAGGGGCATCGAGCGGCGCACGAGTCGGGCGGGCAGTGGGGCACTATGGCATGGTGTATGGAGATTGCAAGGTTTGACTGACGGGGGCGGGTGGGGTAGGCTACGAACGAGAGGGGACTTACGGGTTCGGCAGACGGGGCAACGACGCAGACGGGGGCACGGGTACACACAGACACTCGACTCGACTCGACGGGGCAGCACACACGCCTCTCTCCGGCCCTCGCGCGCTCTCAACCGTGTCGATCGCGCTCCCTGATCTCTGCAAGCAGGCAGGCCAGACTGCCTTCTCTCCTCCCTCCTCTCGAACCGACTCACCCCTTACCCCTCCCCTACCACCCGGTTGAGGGAGGGGAGGAGAGGGAATGGCGGCTTTTCTCGTACCCGCATCTCTTCCCGCCCTTGCCTCCTCGAAAGAGGAGGACGAGGTGAAGAACAGGTCGAGAGCGGGCCCCACCCCTCCCACCTCCCACCTTCCAGGTCCCCGTCGATCCGGGGTCGGCCGAAGACGATCCGACGACGATGTGACGTGGGTAGGTATGGAAGCGGGAGGTACGACGGAAGGGGCCGTACGTAACCGTCGCGAGAAGAGACGAGGGGAGAGCGCGAGTGCGGATACCCGCGTCCCCAAGACGAACAGAGAGCGGTAGAGAGGGATGCGAGAGAGCGAGAGAGGGAGGGAGAGGGAGAGGGAATGGAGAGAGACCCCGCCAAGTCGAGACTTTCAATGCTCTGTGGTCATGGGTTCTTTTGAGGGGTGGGAAGGGATGGGAGGTAGGACCAATAGGACGGGGGGTGACAGCGACGCCGACACTGCTTCCCCTCGTCGACCGGGAGGCCAGGCCGACATCGAAGGGAAGAAGCGCCGGGACCCCGATCGCGCCCCGCCCCGTTCCTCGCATCTCGGATCGCCTCGTCCGTCGACGTCAGCCTGGCGAGGCGAAGTGGTCGGGTCGGACGAGGGAGGAGATGCGGGGCATGGCTTTTGGGGATGCGTACAGTAGAGGCTGGGCATGGACATGGAGGGATGAAGGTGCCGAGTGCGACCATTGCCGGTTCGCCGGGTGGGTGGATGCGAGGGGTGGTCGAGGGTCGCTCCCCAAACCAAAAGAGGACGCCGTGACCGCAACCGCGAGCCGGGCGGGGAAATGGATGGGCGACGACCGAGATGCTGGATCCCACAGGTGGTATGGTGAATGGCTGGTGGTGGTGGTACAGAGAGTCGACGACGAGAGGGCCGCCTTGAAGATACGCGCAGTGCACGGCACGGCACGGCACGCCTCGGCGGCTCACGAACCGGCGATGCGCTTAGAGGAAGCCGATGCGGTTCGAGACGTCGAGGGCGTCCTGGTCGGGGGTGAGGCGGACGTAAGCCTTCTTCTTTCCGTCGGGGCGGATGAGGGTGTTGATCTTGGCGGCCTCGACGTCGTAGAGCTTCTTGAGGGCCTGGCCGATCTGCCTCTTGTTGGCGCGGCGGTCGACGATAAAGACGAGGGTGTTGATCTCCTCAATCTTCTTCATGGCGCTCTCGGTGTTGAGCGGGAAGAGGATCGTCTGGAAGGCGTCCATGCGCGGCGCGTGCGGCACGCTCTTGCGCGGGTACACGGGCGCCTTGGGCAGGCGCAGCGTCGAGGGGCGGTGGAACGAGACCGAGGTGCGCACCTTGCGCAGCTTGTTGCCCGACGTGCCCTTGAGCGCGGCCTTCTTGGCGGCGGCGGCCTTGACGGCCTGCGGCTTGGCCTTGGCCTTGCCGGCGGCTGCATGGGATGGAAGCGCAGGGCAACGAGGAGCGGAGAGAGAGGATCGCGGCAGGGTCAGTCGTCGGTCGGCCTCGCCTTCGTTGTCGTCGTTCCATCCCATTCATCCTCAGCGAGAACGCCAGGGGAACGGCGGAAGCAACTGCGACGACTGCTGCTGCTGCGAGAGACACTCACCAGCAGCCTTGTTAGCACCAGTGTTTCCGGACGACATTCTTGAGGATCGGAGGGGCGAGGGAGGGGTGAGGTGAGGGATGTGGTGGTGACGGGGGAGAAGTCGAAGATGGCGTCCCCTTGGCCAGACGCTGGCTGCGCTGGCTGGCTGGCTGGGCGGGCGAGCGAGCGAGGGGTGGCAGCGGCCCTCGCCGAAAATTCACAAGTCGGACGGTCGGGCGGGCAGGCGAGCACGCCCTGCCCGCTGGGCGACGGAGGGTGCTGCGGCAATTGCCAGACCTTCCATTTTTCTTTCTCGGACGGGAGATCGCGCGTCTTCCTCGCATCGGGAAGCTTAGCAGTAGTGACATCGGTAGCCACCACCGATCCGATCCGATCCGATCCGCTTCGATGCTGAGCCGTCCGTCCACCATCAGTGCGGCCACACAGCCTGGCAGGCCCCGGGGAGGCCGCGTGCAGCACAACAACGACGGCGTCTCATTCGTAAAAGTACAGTTGGTCGCCAGCTGCGACGATGAGGGCGGGAGGACCGTGGGATAGCGTAGCGAGAAAGTCGTCGTCGTCGTCGTCGTCATCTAGGCCCTCCTGAGCCCGACTGTGGCCGCCACCGCCACCACCACCACCACCGATGACTCGTCGACGATTCGGCCCCGCCGCCGACGACGACGTGGTGAAAGCCTGCTGTCTGGCCACGACGAGGTCGTCGAAGCGTGGCGTCCACTGCAGCGCGCCGACGCGTTCCGCCGCTCCGTTGTTCCATCTGAAGCCGTGGAGCCGTCGACCCTGTTCCGGCTGAGCCTCCGCCGCGGCATCGGACGACGCACGGGCGGAATGCCCGTCGATCCTGCTGCCATCCTGTCCCAGGTTCGGGTTGGCATCGCCGCCGCTGCCAGAGGAGGAGGAGGAGGAAGAAGAAAGAGGCTCGGGATCGTCGAGACTCCAGATGCGGACCTGGTCGTCTTGCCCCGCGCACGCGACGAGGCGGTGATGCGCGTCGACTGCGAGTGCCTGTTCGGCCGCCAAACCAGAGCAGCGGTGGGGGAGAAAGACGGGCTCGGCCGTCAGCCTCGGAGCGGGCACGCTTCACAAGGTACCTGATTTCCCTCGGCTTCCCCTCGATTCGGTCCAGGGCGACGCACCAGGTTGAACGTGTAGCTATTGACGTGGCCGACGAAGCTGACCTTGGTCTGCTTGGTGACGAGGTCGACCAGACGCATCTGCTTGCAAGCGACAAAGAGGCGCGGGGCCATCAGAGACAGATCTCGAGGCTGCAGTGCTTGCTGCTGGCATGGCATGGCATGGCATGGCATGGCATGAGATGGACCAGGGTATAGCCACGGACTCACCTCACCCGTCGTCCATGCGACGAGCAGCTCCGACTCGCCCACGCCCACCACGTGCGTAACAGAGCCCGCGCCCTGCGCCAGCTCTTCGAAGCCAGCATCATGGGATCCCCTTGGTGGCGCATCGCGCTGATCCGTTCGTCCGACGTCGAAGCCGACGACGCGGCCGGAACGCAGGCCGGCGTAGACCCGGGTCTGGCCCGCGTCGAGCGAGGCCGCGACAGTACGGCATAGCATTCGAACGGATCAGCGGGCGTCAACGCCATCAACGACAGACACCCGGGCCCGACTTGCGAAGGGCGGCGACTCACATCGGTGGCGAAGCAGACGCACATCGCGTCGCTCCCCAGACGGCGGGCGTCGGAGAGGGTAAAAGTCTTTTCCTCACGGATCGATCCGACCATGACGACGGGGCCGATGCCGTAGGCAAGCCCGAGCTCGGCGCAGGGCAGGACGTGGGGCGTGCGCATGTCCTCTGCTCGCACCGAAAAGCGCCGGGTGCGTCGTCGCGGGTCGTCGCGGACCGCGCTGCACAGCAGGTCACCCTTTGCCTTGGCATGAAGACGGATAGGCTCGCTACAGAACGGACTGCTCCCTGACCGGAGGTAGACGTGCGGCGAGCCGCGGTCCATGCCGATCTGGCTGTATCGTGCGGCGGCGGCGGCGGCGATGAGGTCTGATTCAGCCACGATGCTTCGCCCTCGTTGATTCTGGGATAAGGAGGGTTGACTCACATCTGACAGCCGGCCTGACGAGAGTGGAGCGTCTGCTTCCTGAAACCGGGCCGCGGGCAGCGGGCATCGACGACGACGCTCGCACCGCCTTCGTGCCAGACGAGGGAAAAGTAGGGCCTGGAGTCTGCGCCGGGGTGGTCGAGGGGTATGAGGTCGACGCGGTACGTCGACGTGCGGGAGCTGGCGTAGAGGCAGCCGGCGTCCTCTCCGAGCTGCGATCGCGATCGTGGTGCCGGGCGGGGATCGGCGTTTGTGCCGTCGTCGTCAGGTCGAGATCCGCGTCCGCCTCCGCGTCGACGTTTCAGCCGCTTGGGGTACACGAGCGGCACTTACGGCAAGGTGATTGATGGCGCTGTCGGCCGTTGGCGCGCCGAGGAAAGGTAGGCTAACGCGGTGCGAGAGCGACAGACGGGAAGCGATGTGGCGAGCTGGGTTGCTGGAACGGCGAAGGGAGGGGGAGAATGGGGGCAGGAGAAGGAGGGGAATGAAGGTGTGGAGCACAAGCGGCCGAGACGAAGCAGTCGGAGGGATCAGCCTCGTCCTGGGCGGCAGTGGCATCGTCGAATGGCGCGTGGCCGAACGACTCACGCCAGGCGGCGAGTGGATTCGTGCAGTGTGAGCCTTCCGGCCGACCTCAATGAGGCCATGGACCCCGCCATGCCAGGGCGGGCGGCGATGCCGAGACGATGCCGCAGCGCCTCTCTTGTCCTGCTCGCGTGGTCGCGCCACTCTTGGGCCTGGTTGGGCGAGGGCGAAGGTGGGGCATCGTCGCGTCCCCGTCCCCGTCCCCGCCGATTGCGCTTCGAGCTTAGACCCGTGCCCGAAGCTGAGCTGCCGGCCCCTCGAGGTCCAGGGATGTGCTGCGGCTGTGCGGCGGGTTGGGACTTGAAGAAGCGTTTGCGGACGGGATCCCACTCGTGTCCTGGCACCTTGAACGGTGGTGGCGCTGAGCCGCTCATTGTGCCCGCCCCTTGTCCCTTGGCACTGACACTTGCTGGAACTGGCGCAGGGGTGATGCGGGATCAGAGCAGGTCAGGGTTGGGAGGAGGAGGTGGATGAGGTGGTCATGGCTGTCGGTCGGAGGGCTGCAAAGGGAGGTGGTGTTGGCTCGAGTGAGGAGCGAATCAGGCCAAGGAGAGGAAAGCAAAAAAGGCGCCCCCTGGTAGACATGTGGAGGCAGCGCGGCGGCGCCGTCGCCTCTCTCTGTCCCTCTCTCGCACGCCCGCCATCGAATCATCTTGCCAGTCCCGGCACAGCACTACTCGCACAAGCACACAGACAGGGACGACGCAAACGAGCGACTGAAGGCGAAGCCTGGTTCCACGACAGCCTCAGAACCGGGCCATTCGGGCGGCGGTGTCCGATCGAGCCTGCCACCTCCCCCACCTCCTCTTCTGCCGCCAGCACTCGGTCCTCTCGTAGCCAAAGGCGAGGCTGGAATCAGACCGACACGGCAAACCAAACCTCATGGCACACCGGCACCAGCAACCCAAACGAGCGAGGCATCGCGAGAGCGAGAGAGAGAGAGAGAAGAGGTTTGGCATTCTTCCACCCTTTTCAGGTGGGCTGTTTTGGTTGTGTGCGTGGGGGGGTTGCCTAGGGCGTAGTGTGTGTGTGTGTGTGTGTGTGCGGGCGCGCGTGCCCTGTCCAACCCTCTGCACCGATGGGCATGGATGGACGTGCGCGTGCGCGTGAGCAACGAGGTGCTGCGACGAAGGGAGAGGGCGGGCGGGCAGCAAGTGGTGGCTGCTGCTGCCGCTGCCGAGTGCGGTGTGCCGTGTTACCGGCGTGGCGTGCGGGTGATCATGACGATGGATGATGATCAAAGGTGGGTGGCGAGATACAGGGGAGGGTACAACGAGAGGGGTCAAGGCTGACAGTGTGCCACCAACGGTGGGCGGCGACCGCTCCTGCTGCTTATGCCTTGGTGGCCTTGGCGGTGCGGGCGTTGGCGATCCTCCTGGCAGCCAGCACGCGCTTGTTGAGGCGCACGACGTTGTTGTCGCTCGAGGCCTTGGCCACCTGGGCCGCCGGCTCGACCAGGTGCACCTCGACGTGCACCGGGTGGCCGTTGTAGGCGTTGATGCGGCCGTGGGCGCGGTACGTCCTGCGGCGCGTCTTGGGCGCCTGCTGCACGCCAATCGTCTTGATAATCACCTCCTGCGTGTCGAGCCCCTTGGCCTCAGCGTTGGCCTCGGCGTTCTTGAGCAGCGATCGCAGGAACTTGATCGACTTGACGGGCCATCGTCCTGCACGTCGCAAGAGGGAAAACGGGGGGGAAAAGGTAGAGAGGGTCAGCACACCGCTGCTCGGTCGACCCGCAGGCCCTCCTGGATCGCAACGCTGCCGCCTATCTGTGCCTGCCCAGACCGGCCCTCGTCCAGGCCATGAAACGTCTCATGGCGGCCGTTCCCCCTTCCACGCCCTCGCCGGCCTCTCTCTTCCGCCTCCCTCGCATCTGCCAATCCAACTCGGTCGGCCCACCGACAGCGTATCCACGGCGCGTCTGCCCCACGCGACACTCACCCTGGGTGGTGCCAAACTTGTTGGCCTGGGGGGTGCGGCCGACACCTCCGTTGAAGCGGCGGAAGGGGATGACGTCCTGGTGCTCGACGACCTTGTCGAGGTAAACGTAGGCGGCCTGCAGGTTCATGCCCGAGACGGCGGCGGCAGTCTCGCGCGTGTTCTTGAAGTGGACGCGGAGGTACTGGCCGCGCGAGCGCGAGCTCTTCTCCAGGAGCTTGGAGTCGTCGAAGGCGTAGCGGACCTGCATGGCGGGCGAAGAGCGGCGCGAGGGGGGCAGTTCAGGAGGTGATGGATGGAAGGCAAAGGAGTTAGCGACCGGAGGTTGGGTGGCTGAGGTGGGCAGAGGCCGAAAATTCGCTCTTGCAGAGGACTCCGCCCGACAACGAATCGATCGCACGACGGCACTGCTGCGCAGCGCAACCCGAGCAGGAGAAGACCGGCTGTCTGTTTGTCCTTTCTCCCTTCCGGCCATCCCTCCGTCCGCCTGCCTCAATGTCCCAAGCAACTCCGTCGAGCCCGTGGCAGCCCAATGGCCGATTCTCGCACCGATCCGAGTCGGCCTATGGGCTACCTCGTAGCTCAACCAGGTCGATCCGGCAAGGGGCAAGCGCTATGTTCCCCTTCCCTGTCCAAGCCTGCTCCTGATTCCATCGGCCCATTCCGGTCATCCTCTCGTTCCTCCAGAGTCATGCTGCACGTCGAGCCAACACCGCGCTGAAGTGGTCGGTCGTCGCGGATCGATCAGAGCCGGCGTGTTTCGAGGTGCGGCGAGGCGGATCGGTCATGTTGCCGAGGCGAGATCGGGTGCGAAGTCGTAATGCTGGCGATCTGCGATCGTAGGCCAAGGCAGCCGAGCGTCGCCGCATCACCAGCGTGTCGAGGGTGTCGCAGGGCCGTACGAGCGGCCAGAGTCGAGGGGGCCACGATGCCGGCTACGGTGGCGCCAGCAGAGCGCCGTTCAACGCGGATACGGCGGGAAGAGGGTGGTGATGGTCGCGCCTCGGAGGCGAGGCTACTTGGAAGATCGGCCGGGGGATGAGAGGTGTCGTATGGTCCAAGTCGGGCGGCAAGTCCATAGGCATGTCGGTGTTGGTCGATGTCGCCGTTCGTGTCGTCGAGGTCGGCGGGTGCAGCATGACTCCATGTCCTCCTCTAGCCCAACTTCCGCCTGGTCTTCCAGCAGTAAAGCCCAATGGTGCCACCACCAAGGCCAGCACCACGAATAGACAGCCGTCATCTCCAAGTGTTCGGGCCTGCGACTCCGCTCGCGGCGCTGTCGTTTCGTCGTCGATGTCCGTTGTTGAAAAGACGTCGTACGTACCATTCTTGCGGTATCTTGCTGCGGAGAGGGGGGGACGGGCGGAGGAGAAGGGGGGGCGGTGATGACGAGGAGGAGGCGTAGTTGGAGCGTCGAGCGGTGGGCCTCCTCCCATCCCTCGCTGCCCTCGCTCCCGCCCGTCCGTCGGCCCTGGCTGGGCTGGGCCCAGCGAGGCTCCCTGGCCCTCCCTCTCCGCCTTGCTTCTTCGGCTCCTTCAGTCTGCCTGGGCTGCCCGTCGAGGCGCTGGCTCGCCCTCGCTGCCGCCAGCTTGCCCTGCCCGCCGCCCTCTGAAAATTCCAAAAATCGGTGGGCCAGCCTGACTTGGCTCGACTGGCGACGACCGGCCGAGGACACGTGATTTATCTTGCAAAACTTGGAAAAACCCTCGACCTCCCGCTGCGGACACGTCAGGCTCACGTCAGCTATCTTTGGACGGCATCGGAAGCATCGTGCGTCGATCGGGCAGATGGCTTAGATCTCGATCCGCCCTCCGCGCCGGCTGCGGACCTGCGCCGGCATGAGGCCAGGACTCAGCCTGCTCACCTTACGTCGCGGGCTTCCTGGCCACAGCTGGCTGGCCAGCCACTTCGCGCACATCGTTCCACACTCCAGACCTCTGACGACCGTGCAGATGCTCGGCCATCGCATCCGACCAGCCTGCATGTGATATTGATTGAGCCTTCTACTGTGGCCGGGTCGTTTGTCGTACAGAACCCGATCCTGCGCGCCCGTCTCGGTCACCATCTATCGAAGAAAGGGGACGACCTTGTCCAGGAACGCCTCGGGCACGTCGCACATGGGCAGGTGTCCGCCGCCGGCGACCTTGGCAAACTCGACCTGGGCGCCTGCCGCGCTGAGCTTTTCCGCAAACGCCGCGAGCGTCTCTGGCAGCTTGCCGTCGGCCTCTCCCGCGACGAGGAGGTGGCGCTTGCCCTGGCCGCTCTGCTGCACGAGCGCCTCGACGAGGCCGGCGCCGACGAGGTCGTAGCCCTGGAGCGCGCGGGCGCCCTGGACAAAGCCGTTCCGTAGCGGCGTGGCC